CCTGCAGTGACACCCCCCTCATCAGGCTCTAAGCCACTCACATACACCCACAGCCTTCCACACCGTCACAAATCCCCCCCCACACACACACACCCCCACCACCCCCAACCATACAAAGTACCTGCATAATTTTGCATAATTTTGAGTTTTCAGCTGTGCAATTAAAATCTTAATTAATTGTGACTAATTTTTGTAATTGTGCAGCTAATTGTGATCACATTTTTAAATCATTTGACAGCCCTGTAGTATCAAATTTAAATTATTAACATTGTGAAGGGGAGCATTCAGATACTAGGAATATGTAATTTAAAGCTGCATAAGCTGTTTACTTTCATTACTGTGAAGGAGTGAGAGTAAGTGGGGACACAACGGGAGAGAGAGGAGAGTGCTGCTTCTGGAGCTATTGCCTTATTAGGATCAAAGCACCGAGAGAAGCAGGGAGTGGCAGGACCCAAGCTGCAAGGGAAGAAGAGAGCAGTGTGACCTGAGGTCCAGGAAGAGAGGGAGGAAAAAAAAAAAAAAAAGAGACGAGAAGATAATGAAGAAGGAACCATAGGAGGATCCGCGGAGAGACCAGCAGTGTTCACTGTTGCAGCAAGAAGGAATGGAGAGAGGGGCACATCCCTGGGAGGACTCTGAGAGATTTGGGATATCCATCAGCAATAATAAAAAAAAAAAAGAAAAGGATTTTTGTTATAAACTCTCCATCAATATTAATGACTGGTCCAGTTTGGTCACTGAGAGGGTTTGAGACCACTAGTTAAAGAGGAAGCTGATTGGTGGGGCTGATAGCAATAAAGATAAACACATTACAGGCAGGGAGATCTGAAAAGATAAAATGTCCCTTAAAATTGTGAGACATTGAACCAAATAAAAGAAAAGTAAGAAGATCCTAGTGGAGAGTCAGTTCATCAATGCTAAGTTTAGTTCATTTGTGTGTTAACTGTTACAAAGTAGAATCATTTTGGATAAGAGTTACAAAGTTAATACTTTAAGGGATACAATGAACATCCTCAGTCTGATGGTGTGTGGAATTTTAACACAATGTTGTAAAAAAGGAAAATAA